AACACAAACACTCACACATACACATACACGCACACACACACACCCACACACAAACACACACATCCACACACACATCCACACACACACACACACACACAAACACACACACACACACTCACACACATACACACACATGTGGACGTCCATAATATACACAAACAGTCTTCCCTCACACATCCACTCTTCCACACGCGGGTGGTTGGCTGGTGCTCTGGTGTGGTTTGCTTCTTCTTTCCCATCAAAAATCTATCTTCCTTATCTCTCCTTCTTCTTTTTTAAGTTTGTTACTTTCTTATAAAACCTCTAATCTTCTGGCGCTTATATGACCTTATGTAGTTGCGAGCGCCGTAAAACCTCAAATAAAACTAGACTCTTCCACACGCATTATCCATGTAATAGTAGTAGCTTATGCTTGCACTCACAAACAGGCTCGCAGTCGCATGCATAATGTAAATGAACAGTAATATTAACATAATATAAACAGTAATAATGTTAAGCAGTTGTTAAGCAAGATAGATACGAACTCACTATTCTGACTGTATTATTCAATTGAATTCTGATTCATGCTCTAAGGTCATGTAAAATACTTATTACAAGATGCTTAAGTCTGATGGGAGAAGTTTGATGGATGGTGGTAAGAATGACCTTCTGTATCTTTCTTTGTTACAGATCAGAAGTCTATGTCTTTTACTTCTGATTTATATTTTTATTTGAGGGAACAAGGGATGTTTATTGACCAAAAAGATGGAATTGATTTTTCTAGTGCAAGCTATAAAGTAATTTATAATTCATGGAAGTAGGGGAATGTAGATGTTGAAATTGTGCATGCTTTCCGTATTGATAGTTTCAATTTTTCTTTACCTTGTTTTCTTTTGTTCCCGGCCCATGCTGTTGTACAGAAATTGATAATAAATTCTATGGCTCAATGATAGAATGTGGACATAGGCTAATAATAATAATAAATAATAATAAATAGCATTTGTATAGCGCATATCCCCGCTCAACAGCAGGCTCTATGCGCTTTACACTATATCACATGTATCAAGGGGAGTAGAGCTTATGTACAGTTCAACTGTTCAACAGTTCATGTAGGCCATCTCCTCGTTCTCTCATCATCATGGCATCTCTCACCCTGGATCAGGGTATATTATTGTAATATAAACTATAGGCCACGAACAAACACAATTCAATCTTTCCATATCCTGGACTAGCCTTTTGATGTTATTCCATGTCTTCCACTTTTATTTAGGCCTACACAATTTCCTGTGATTATTTCCAGAGGTTCCACGTGATCTTCCATTTGATCTTTCCCTCCATTCGACCACGTGTATATTATTTATACAAACAAAACTGTCAAAACTGGTCTAAAACCGATAAGAGTCGGCTTCGGCCGCCACCCGCGCAAAATTCAAAATTTCCTACCAACTGAAAATGTTTAATGTGTGCTGTACGCTCATATGGCCGTGTGCAGTTGCTAGCGCCGTAAAACACATACCCGCCCAAAAA